TCATCTCTCCCAGCATTCCACTCGTCCAATACAAATAGCAGGGTGAGGACTCCTCAGTAGGAAACACAATCTACTTACTCAAAGAAAATCATGGACGTCATTTCCACCCTTTATCTGGCCTTTGTCAGGCTCCATGGGGATTCTAGGCAGTATTTTTGCTGGTTCTGCCAAGATTTTTGCTTAATAAATACATAATATGATCAGAGTGCCTGCCTTTCTGGTTTCACTTCCTGCTAGACATCTGGGGCCAAGGCCCAGCTGGGCAGGGCTGTTTGCGTATCACCCGCCAGACGGGCTCCCTAGAAAGTTCCTCCAAGCTACAGGGACCAGACAGAGGCCAGCAATGGCACTGCACTGCAGCCGGATCTGTTGACCCTCCTGATAAATGAGCATGAGCCCCAAAGCCCACACGGTGTCCTGTGACTTTGTCTCCTCACCTAGCACACTCAGGGTCCCGTGCCCAAGCTTCATGACAGCTCCCACAGGCAGGGACAGAGAAAGGATCCCTGGTGCACTGGAAGCCAACATGATCACTCCTCATCTGTCTCCCTCATCTCTGCCATCCCCTCAGCCCCTCCAGTCTCCTCCAGCAGGTGCTCCAGTGTGGTTCTCTGTGTGTGTGTGTGTGTGTGTGTATGCACACACAGTAGTAGGCCTTGAGCTCTGGGCCTGTGTGCTTTTCTGCTTAAGGCTATCACTCTGCCCCTTGAGCCACAGGTCCATTTCCAGCTTTTTACTCATTAATTGGAGATAAGAATCTCATTGACTTTCCTGCCTGGGCTGGCTTCGGACCACGATCCTCAGATCTCAGCCTCCTCTTGAGTTAGCTGGAATTACTGGTATGAGTGAGCTACCAGCACTCGGCAGCATTTTGCTATCTTAATAAGTGGGTGAGGACTTGGGCACATACAAGTAGACGTTGGAAGTTACTATTAGCCCCATGCCTGTATTTAATGCCGAGATTGGGTCTGGATGGAAGGCACCTTCTTGATTCTTCTCAGCCACCCCCCCCCCCCTTACCACAGTTGCCCCAACAAGGAGAGAATACTTTTAGCTCCTCCCTCGCCCCTCCCCACATGGAAGGACCACCTTACCCTTCCTTCTGTAAGCTACTTGTGTTTCAAAGTCTTCCTCCCTGAGACCTTTCTTCTTTGGCCGACACCCTCCTGGCTGCCATTGAAGGCATTGTTCTCTTACTCTGTCCTCAGTGGAGCTGGAAATGACTAAGCCGTTCCCCTTCAGGTCATCCCTCCCCCCTGGGGCTTGCTCCTAGTTGTGGTGTATTTAGTACAGGATCTTACTTGATGTCATCATTTTAATACTTTTCTAAAGCAACAAGGAAAAGTCACAGCATCGTCCCTCATTTCCTGTGTGGCCTTTGTGTTGACATTTTCTAGACTGCTTTTTTTGGCTATCACTTCGAGAACAGATACCAGGAGCATCTAAACCAGAGGTCCAGCTGGAGAATGAATGACATACAGCAGGGAATTCAAAGGCGTCTGAGTGAGGTACAGAGAATTAATCTTAGGGTCCCAAGATTGGAGGGCTGTGATCTCACAGAACCCCACAGAGGAGACACAGAATTTTCGAGAAGAGACCCCATAGAAAAGCCCCCCCCCCCCAAGGTTCAGTCTCGCCTCCCAGTTGGTACTGAAGACGGGGCACCCTCTGCATCCAGCCAGACTGTCGGGTTTATTTTCTCCCTCTTGGCACCTGCGCTGTGGTAGAAGCTGTGAAAAGAGGCCACCACCGTCTAATAATATTCCAGGCACATTGGTTTTCTCGTCTTAATTACCATCCTAATTTGCACTTTTGGTGGAGCACCTGTGGTAGGAGCTCCAGTTGGCATTTTAACTCGTCCCTTCCCAGCCGGTGGGTTCCATCTGCCATCTGTTGATCGCACTGTGGGCCTCGCTTCTCTCATTGATGTTCTTTCTCTGTGGGTAATTGGTGTTCACTTCCCATTTGTTTAGCTCTCAGGTATCTTCCTATCTCAAGCAGGGTAACAAATACATCCTCTCCCATGATCCTTCTTCTTTCCCTTCCCCTTGCACCTTCCAGGGGTCAGCCACCTCCAAGGTTGACTTGTTTGGGACAATGACTTTTGGTCCCATCTCTGGACCAGCAGAATAGAAAGGAAGATTCATCCCTGCGCAAACATCACAACGTGTTCTTTGTGGACAGTTCTCTCCTTTGCTCTGGGCCTGGTTAGCTTCAGGGGTAGCCAGGGGGACAAAGCATTCACTTTACCTCAGTCCTCTGCAGGGGAGAGAGATGGAGAGGTCAGTGCTTACAGTCCACTGGGCCACGCCCCACAAGGCCAGGTCAGTAACTTAGATGTCCAAGGGAGAAGAGAATGGAGTGGTACTTCAGGCTCAGCCCCTCCTAGCAGTGTGACTTAGCTGGTCCCTTGTCCAGGCTGAGGAGCATTTATTTGTCAAAGTGCTTAGGCTGCTTGCTAAACAACCGCAGGGGTTATTTTGCTAATTAATGTAAGCCCTGATGCTCTGGGCTGTGCTATCATTTACACTGAAATGGCTAATTAGAGGAAAACTTTAACAAAAGAGCCAACCAGCTGTTGCTTGAAGAGAACACATCCCCCTCCCCCCAAAAGGGAGGAACATGCACCATGCTGTGCTCCTGGGATCAGCCCCTCTCCTAGGCTTTGGACACCTGTCCCAGAGGTTCCTGAGGGAGACCTCTGCCCCGAAGACCCCACTGTTTCCCATGATGTGCAGACAACAGACTCCCCCCCCCATGCAAGATGGAGGCTGGCAGGGGCAGCACCTCAGATGCTCAGGTGCTGTTTACCACTGTATCCTCTGGGCTGTGGACGTGGGACGGAGAGAGATACACAGGAAGAGGCTGCCTCCTTGTGATGGAAAGGCTACCTGGAACTCTCAGACAGCCCTGTCCCAGTTTTCTCTGACATGCAGCTCTTTTCAAAATCAGACTACGAGGATATCATTGTTCTTACTTTGGCAGTACTAAGATTGGAACCCAGGCCTCACGCTTGCCAGGCAGGCACGCTACTGCTGAGCTACACCTCCAGCTTTTTTTCTATGCCAGTTATTTTTGAGCCTCACTTCCTGCCTTGGCATATACCTGAACTAAGATCTGCCCATTTTAAGCTTTCCGTCCAGCTGGGATAACAGGAACTGGCATAGTCATTGTGCCCTACTGTTGGCTAAGGACCTCTAGCCAGGGGCAGGAGCTCAAGCCTATGATCCTTGGCAGGCAGTGATTGGGGGATCATGGTTCAAGACAAGCCTGGGCAAAAAAGTTGTTCACACAACAGCATCTCAACGTCTGGGTGTGGTGTCACATGCTTGTCATCCCCAGTGACTTGAGAAAGCAGAAACAAATAGCAGGATTACAGCCCAGGTCAAGCTGGGAATGAAGTGAGACCCTACCTTGTAAATAGCCAATGGGAAAGGGAGCAGAAGATGTGGCTCTCAAGTGGTAGAATGCTTGCCTCACAAGTGCAAGGCCATGAGTTCAAATCCTAGTACTGCCACAAAGAAAAGAAAACAGGCTTCCCTCAGTAGGTTTGGCCCTCTTCTCACCCAAAGAAATTCCTGGCTCAAGGACATTGTCCTTTCTGCTTGGATTGATGGAAATAACTGAACTCCCCGGCAGATCTCAGACCGTGTCTTAAGGTTGTTCTTGTAACTCTGATCCCCAGCTTTGTTTTCCATTGTACTTTCCTATCAGATATTCAGACACCACCCCCCCCCCCCCGCCACACACACACACACACACACACACACACACACACACACTTGACCTTGGACAAGGTACTGGTAAACTTGACAAGTTCACATGCTCCGCTGGACAGGACTGAGGAATCATCTTGCTCATCCCCAGGCTTCAAGCTAGACTGTAGCTGCCCCATGTCAAGGAGGCATTCTGGTGATGGCGGTCTCACCCCCCTTCCAGCTTTCTTCCTAACCAGGCCCCAGTTTATTCAGTGGCATGTGGAGAGTTCAGGAAGTTGTCCACGTGAGTCAGGCCCTTCTCCAGCCCTGGGAGGGATGGAGACTAGCCAGAACTGGTCACAGGGTCTCTGTATTCAGGGTCTGGAGCTAGTATTGTCTATTCTGGATGCTGGTTCCTGGTTGGCTCAGAAAATAGAAGAGAAAAGCTGCCAAGAAAAATTTTCCATCTAAGTACTGAGACAAAAACTCAATGGAGAAGATTGTCTGGGACATAGGTGAAATGGCTAGATGGGCACAGTTATTTTGTAACTATGAGGACCTGAGTGATATGAATGGTAGAGCCTGTGTCTGCAGTGATGTCACTATATCAGCTTTGGTTATGTTTAATTGCGCTAATAATAAACAAACCCCTGTGTATGTAAGTCAGGAATCTTTCAGTAAAGGGCTGGATAGTAACTATTATAGGTTGTCAGGAATGTGGTATCTGTCATAACAGCTCAATTTTGCTTCTATAACATGAAATCAGCTGTAAATGATTCCTCAACTAATGAACATGGCTATGTGCCAATAAGGCTTTATTTACGGATATTAAAATCCAAATGTCATATAATATTTGGGTGTCACAAATAACTCTTCTTTCTTTGGTTTTTTAAAAACTATGTAGAAACACAAACCAAACAAACAAACAAAAAAGCTGGGCTTTGTGGTGCATGACTGTAATCCCAGCACTTGAGAGGCTGAAGCAGGAGCATCATGAGTTTGAGGCTCACTTGGGCTACATAACCAACTCAAGGCCAACATGAGCTACGAAGTAGCAGATTCTACTACAAGGAGTGAATGATGTTAAGAACTCATTCTTAATATTTCTCACACCATACAAGAACAGGCAATGGCCAGATTTGGGGTCCCAGAGCTGTGGTGTGCGACCCTAGCCTGTGCTCCCCCATTCCATTGATTTTCGTCACTGGTGGCCTAGCCTTACCAGGCCCAATGATAGGACAGGTGTTCCTCCATGGGAAGTGGCTCCTAACCCCTTACCCCTTCTTTGTGTGTCTCTTTCAGAGGGCCTGGCTGTTGGAGTTGGCTTTGGGGCCGTAGAGAAGACAGCATCTGCCACCTTTGAGAGCGCCAGGTAAGCCAGCACCTGGCCCTGAACCTGAGCTCGTTCCTTGGCCAGCTGCCAGCACATGACCAGAGGCAGACACAGGCCTTGTGGTGCTCACGTCTGGGAGGAAGCTCTTAGATAGGCAGGCTTGGACCAGCTTTTACAGAGGAGCTCTCTGACCAGCAGCCATCTCGGAAATGGGACATGGTACTGCCTCCTTGTATGATCAGGCCTAAGTCTGTTGGTTGTCAGGAGCAATTTCTCACAACATCTCTCTTCCATCCTCTCTGGGCTGCGTACTTACATGGTTTCATTGTTATTATAAAGGTGATGTACAGAGAGATTACGGTTAACATACGTCAGGTAAAGAATACATTTTATTTTAAGACAATGTCACCCCTTCCCTCACTCTCTCCCAGTTTTTCCCTCCCATCCCCATTACATGGTTTCTTTGTATCCCATGACTACCTCGCGTCTGTTACCTGGCTCATGTGGCATCCTGCACGCTGAATGAAATAACACCACTGATTGTGTTACCGAATCCCTAACATACGTATTAAGGGGTGTGTTTGCTTTTTGGCAAGTCTGAATATGCAGGGTGGGGATCTGGCCTGCTCTAAGCTAAAATCTTCCCTGTTGTCAAGGTTCCTTCTCCCGAACCCTTTCCTCGCTCTGTATTCTCAGCATCATGGAGAAAATGAGGCCCTGTTGCGAAACTCAAATGAAATGGGCATTGAAAATGCATGAAATGTCACCAGAAATGAGGGTTCATTATGAACTCCACACCCTGCATATCACTCTGCTGGCCCTGGGGAGGGGGGAGGTTGAGCCTGTCTCTGCCCCTTGGCATAGCCATTTTGATCTTAATTTCATTAGACTAGGAGGACCTTCAGAGGCAGGCAGCATCCAGGGGAAAGCACCCTGAGGGGACGACCGTACAAACACTCAAAGGCCAGGCCTTCCCAGAGCATGCATGCACACAGACACACACACATACAGACACAGACACACACACACACACACACACACACACACACACACACACACCACTCCACGCTCCACCAGGATGGTACCCCCAAGTGACAGCTGTGCCCCAGGCATCAAACTCCCAGGCTGGGCTCTGTCTTGGTGGCACCATCTCCTCCACCACATCTTAGTGTCACCTCTAATATCTGTCTATGCTGATACCTTTGCTGGCTGCAAATCTTGATAAATATCTCTGCAAAATCCCTTTTAACCCTTCCCTGAAGCAGCAGGTAGCATTACATAAGCCCTCCACAGTGCCTCCTGCTGGGGTGGGGCTGGGCGCATGATTGCATCTGCCCTCCAGGCATTATGGAGGGCTGCCTGGGCCCAATAGCCCACCCAGTGTGGGGCCAGAACTGACAGGGGCTCCACTGCAGTCTCTGCCACGATATACAGAGGATCTGGGGTGTAGTGGGATCCTACAAGGAGACTGGGCAGGGGAATGGGGAGGAGCACTCGGTGTCTCCAGACCTTACATAGAAACCCACATGGGCTGCAGTTTGGCTTCTCCCCTCCTGAATGCCTGTGCAGAGTGTCCCGGGGGCAAGGCCTGCTCACTGTCTCCCCTCGTAGCTCAGGCTACAGATTAGAGGGATCAACAAGTAAGAATTCACCCCTTGTCAGCTTTGAGATGAGACGGGTGGGGCCTTGAAACCCCACACTAAGTACACGGCCAGGGCCACTGCGCTCCCCACTTCTGCAGGGGCAGTGCGCGAGGGCTCAGCTGTGCTCTCTCACCGGGGTCCAGGTCCTTCCACCCTGCAGTTCCAGGTGAGACTTTGCCCACTCAGGTGTCTATGCCCAGCCTGTTCGGTGATGGTCTTTGTCAGGAGGGAAGGTGGTCTGATGATGAGTAGAAGTTCTGTGAGTCCTTGGAGAAATCACAACATCCCCTGTGCTGATCAGGGCAACACGAGGTGGAGCCACTTTGACCTTGTGCACTGGCTCATTCACTCACCCACTCACTCATTCATCCACTCAGCCCGCTCTGTCACAACTCATGTTTTTACTCATTCTCTCACATATTCATTCATTCAAACACATTCCCTCATTCACTTGTGTATTCACTCATTCACTCAGTCTCACTCATTCACTTGCTAATTCATGCCACTGATTCACTCATTCACTCCTTTTTATTAATTCACTTCATTCATTGTCTCACTCATTCACTTGTGTATTCACTCATTCATTCAGTCTCACTCATTCACTCGTCTATTCATTCATTCACTCATTCAGTCTCACTCATTCACTTGCTAATTCACGCCACTGATTCACTCATTCACTCCTTTTTATTAATTCATTCATTCAATCTCATTCACTTGCTTATTCACTCATTCAGTCTGATTCACTTGCTTATTCACTCACTTTTCTATTCACTTGCTCAGTTATTCACTCATTCTTTTAGTTATTTAATTGCTCACCCACACGCCACATTTATTTACCTACTCACTCATTCACATATTCATTTATTTGCCCATTCATTCACTACTCATAGCCTCTACTGTGTGTCTCCCAGTGTGCCGGTCTCTGTGGAGAACACAATTTGTGACACCACTCTTACAAGAAGTTGAGTTTGCCGCTAATATTTTCAGTGATGTGATAAACTCGACTGACATTCATGCAAATAAACCAAGCAACAAAAATGGTCTTTGCTGCATAACTAAGGACTTAAGGGAAGTGAGGAGTACCAGATGCTGGAGATAAAGGGAGGAGATGAGGCATAAAGTAAATTATAAGCAAGATGGCAAAACCCTAGACTTGTTGCACAAACAAATTGGGTACAAATTTGCACATTGTCTCCAAAACCCCAAACCATAAGACTGGTCTAGGAGAATAGATACTTTTCAGGCTTTCGTAGAAGCAAACATAAAGGCCCAGGAGCACCCAAGGACTGCTTTTTAATATTTAGTAAGGGATCGACAAGTAATAATAAAATACAGAACAACCAGAATTGAAGAAAAAAATCACACAGAAGTTTTAAAAATGAAAAAAAATGCATACATTAAAACGAAAGTCAATAGTTACAACTCAACTACTCTGAGAATCTTCTTTTTTTTTTGGTCCGGTTGTGGGGCCTGAACTCTGGGCCTGAACACTGTTCCTCAGCTCTTCAGCTCAAGGCTAGTGCCCTACCACTTGAGCCACAGTGCCACTTCCGGCTTTTTGCTTATGTGGTGCTGAGGAATCGAACCCAGGGCCTCAGGCATGCAAGGCAAGCGCTCTACCAATGAGCCAACTTCCCAGCCCTACTCTGAGAATCTTACTAGTTAATAAGATTTGTGTTGGTTTAGGCCAGTGATCCCAGCTAGGAGAGTGGCAGGGATGGAAGAGGATAGCCATCTGAGGCCCATTCTGGGCAAAAACAAGAGACCCTATCAGAAAAATAAAGCAGAATGGGCTGGGAGTGTGTTACTCAACAGGCAAAGTACAAGGCCCTGAGTTCAAACTCTAGTACAAGGCCCTGAGTTCAAACTCTAGTACTGCCAGAAAGGAAGAAAGAAGGAAAGAAAGGAAAGGAAGCAAGGAAGGAAGGAAGGCAGCCAGCCAGAGAACCTACATGGATAATTGTACTAATCGGAGAGAGGAAGTAGGAGAGGGCAGAGAAAAAGAATGAAAGACAGACACTGAAAAGAGATACAAAACCAAAGTGGAGTAAGTCACTGAACTAGACTCTTCCCTCCCTCCCCCCTCCCCAGTCCTAGGGCTTGAACTCTGGGCATAGGTGTTATCTCTGAGCATCTTTTGCTCAAGGCTAGTGCTCTACCACTTGAGCATAACCCCCACTTGTGGCTTTTTCTGTGACTAATTAGAGATAAGAGTCTTATGGATATTCCTGCCCAGGCTGGCTTTGAACTGCGATTCTCAGATCTTAACCTCCTGAGTAGCTACAATTACATGTGTAAGCTACCAGCATTCCGCTAGAATTGTCTTTTTAAAATACCTAGCTTTTGTTTTTTTTTTAAAAAAATTCCACTGCTATGTGCAGTGCGCCTGAATTGTGACACAGAAAGCTTGAAACCCAAAGAAGGGGGAAGAAAAGACATAAGACAAATGCTGAGAACCAAGTAGTAGTGTAATTTTTAGTTAGCAAAGTAGACTTGAAGGTGGGAAGCCCTCGCAGGAATAACGGTGAATACTTCATGGAAAGGAAATCCTTGTCTCTGTGTGCCCTGACCACGGCAGCACAAAGTGCTAAAGGATACAGAGGAGACACCCCGGAGGAAGTGCAGACACTGCCATGTGGAGGGCATACGGCCATGCTATGATGGTCACTAACAACATAGATAAAAGACAAGCAGACTGTATAGCATGGATGCGTGTAACCTCCAACCCAGCAATTCAAACACACGATGCTTTTAAGTACAGATGCTTGTTAACCCAAACTTGTGAGTACCATGTCCAAGAGAAAGAATAAAGACCCCCCCAGATCAAAAATGTCCAAGAGAAAGAATAAAGACACCCCCACCCAGATCAAAATTATTCAAGCCACATTGTCTGACTTCAGTGTGTGATCATCGAAAACCCACAACTGAGAAGATAGTTGAAATTGTGTGTCAGTGGGTAGTTAACATGGTGGGCAGCTTAAGATGAGCACGGACCAGGCTGTGTGTTTCTTTTGGGAGCTGAGAGGTGGCCAAGATAAGAGGGTACGTTAGGCTGGAAACAAACGCAGAGGTAGACGCAAGGCCATTTCAGGGTCCCATGAATAGATGTCAGTGAGCAGGATTTCCCGTGGGGAAGAAGGACAGAGTTGACAGAGGCGGGATTCATCCAGGGACTAGCAACACCGGCAGGGCCTGTGCAGGGCGGTGACATAATCCCAGAGGTAATGGAAGGAAGCAGCCCTCTGGTTCAGATGGAGTGGTTGGGGGTGGGCAGGCCAGTGTGAAGATGTCAGCAATGGGAGAAAATGTGTACTCGTCTCCCACAGTGTGTTTTTGCAGGATGAGGAGGATGACTTTTCAGCACAGACCCTATGGGTTTTGGTGTACAGGAAGGAG